TCGGCAAGATGGAAGAAGGAATAATCCCCCTCTCCTGCCATGTCCAGAGGAAAAATGGATTGACTTAAGAGGACAACATGTATTATGACTTTTTGTTTCCCTTTAAACATGTTTTCCAACAAATACAGAAGGAAACAGTATCATTTATAAACAACAAAAAAGTGCTCTCAGGGAGGGACTCTGAGAAAACAGCACCAAATATATTATTTTTTTTTAAATTAAATATTATTTACAAAAGTGTATTTCACAAGATAATGTTTCTTTTTTTCCTGCTTTTTATATATTATTATCTGAATATTTATTACAGGGATCAGGATTTCACACCAGATAATCCACCACAGCAAAACAACTTAACACCTACTCAAGTCTGAGCTTTGGGGTGGATCAGGTCATGTAAACTCAAGGGTACATGCAGCTTGGCAGAGACGAGGCTGCCACATAAAACAAAAGAAAAAAAATGTGTTCTCGAGGATATCACCCATGGAAAACAGCACCATGGGCATCTGGTGCTCTGCATTCAGGCACTGCCTGCCCGAGCAGGCAGCTTCCATGGGCCACATCTCCAGCTTGGAAACAATAGTCCCACCTTGCCCACCCCAGGTGGTAACAAACTGGCTCCAGTCAACCCACAGGGCCAGAGGGATGCAGATAGCGAGGTTCTCAAGGTTCTTTGGTTATGCTCTGAACAGATCACTACCAGTCATCAACTGAGCCTGCGCAGACTGTGGCAGCCACTAGCACACAGATCTGATCATCCTGTCTTGTCACCAGCTCTCACTACTGTCGTGTCTTAATACAGCAAGTAACAGATGAGTTAGCAGCGGATTAAAAAGTACTTCATATTCAATGGACACACAGTGAAGAAGCCAATGAGCTTCACAAGCCTGTTTTTCCTTACCTCCTTGTATTAAAGTCACTCTATCCATAATTGTCTGGGTGCACTAGGGATGTTTGCAGACACATATTTTTTCCCTATCAGGGCTTGAGGACAGATTCTCAACAAGTGTGAATCTGTGGATGCTGATGGAACAAAACCAATTAAAATCAGATTAAGATCTTGCCGTATTCAAGCTTAGACTGGTTGCCACTGAAAGTGTAACCCCTATAAACAGTTAAAAACAGCCCGATCTGATGGATCACCATCCTTTCTTGTCCCAAATATATGGATAAAAACATTTACATCTGGTAGATTTCTGTAGTAACTGTTCTTTCTCAGAGCAGTCCTCTGGACAGGCCTACCTTTTATATCACTTTTTTATAGGCAATCAACCTAAATACCAACATAAACCCCTGAGCCCCTGTGTGTTCTTCTCAACCTCATCTTAATGATTTGGGGTTATACCTTACTTCTCCCAGCTCTGACCAGACGCCTTTGAAGACTACTTATCTGGGGAGACCTGAAGAGACCTTCAAAGAACACAGATTACTTCCCGCTAGTCAGATCCCAATAAATTGTCATGGATCACCAGCCAAAGGACAGGAAAATGGGCCCAGGTCAGTGCCAAAGTCAACAAGACAGAGGGTACTGCAGAATTGTTGATTTCTACTAGATTTTTACCACTGAAGGCAATGTGGATGATGGAAGCAGAGACCACCAGAAACAAAAGCTGAAGCGACTGTTACACAGCCCCAGCAGAAAGGGTAAAGGCAGAAGCCACCTCCTAACAGGCTGGCCACAAACTGAGCAAACCCCATCCCCTCAGGAGCTGGAGCCAGCTTCCATCTCACTTCTCTCTCCAACGCTGCAAAGAACAGTGGTTCAAGAGAAAAAGTGATCTTTGCTTAGATGGGCCATCAGGTTTGGGTTTCAACACAAAGACCCAACATGTAAGTTCCACCCTGATCCCTAGGTAGCATGTCTGCTCACATCCCCTTCATTTAACAGCAAGTTACTTTCTCACCACCAGCCCTCTGTCCTGCTCCCCCCCACCAACCGAGAGTCCCTTCGGGTGGGGGCAAGTGGGAACAGATTACAGCTCCAAAGCTTAGGTTTCATAAGGAGTTACATACCCCTGCACAATACTCTTTCCTTCTGGATTAAGAAAGATTTCCCCCAATGGATTAACCTACTTGAAAAAATTCCACAAACAAAAAGAAAATTCACTCAAAGAGATAAAACTAATTCAGTTAAATAGTCTTTAGTTATGCACCAGATACTGGCTGGACTGTTGCAGAGCAAACTTCACATTGTCATTTATGTCTAACACAGCTCCCCTCTCACACACAATGCCTCTTCCCCACTGACCACCTCGGGAAGGTCCACAGTAATTAAAATGAAAAGATTAAAATGGGAAGGACTTGTCCCTTGCACTTATGATGCCCACATCTACCCCTTCCCTTTAAATTCCAAGGCATAGACAATTTCAGGGGTGGGGGAAGATGCTGAATTTCGTTTTTCTTTCCCCTTCCCACTGTGCCTGCAACAGGCTTCTGGGAGTGGGAAAAGGGAGGAAGGTTTCGGGGAGGATACCTCATGGCTTGAAATATCCACCTGTGCAACACCGCTACAGCCACCAGGCTCCTCTGCTCCCTCCTCTCCCCACACTCACATCAGTTCTCTGCCAGGCTCCAAGAGTGGAGCTGACGGCTGGGACCTGGGATTTAAGGTAATGATTCTGTAACAGCATTTTCCTACTTGCATTTGTGAAGGATTGGTAAAAGACCCCCAGAGGTGCTCAGTGGAGGCCAGGAAATCAGAAAGTTACTAAGTTTGTCCCCATCCTCCTCTACATGATTTCCTCTTTCTTGCCTAACACATGCCGTTTTTCCCCGTCATACCTTCTAAGCTGCAGCTCCAGCCCCCTTGTGACTTAAGTGGTTATCTCCTCCTCTCTGAAGGGTCAGGAGGCAGGATTTGGTTTCTCCAGCTGTGAGGATGCTCCCCACAGCTGTGTTCTGTTGGGGTGTTTGGCCTACCTACCCTGAAACAGTGAGAGAAATGGGAGGCAGGGAATCTCTCCAGCCTTCACGTCCTCCCCCCAAGACGACAAGTTCATAAATGGCAAACAAAACACAGATTTGCGATCAGCTTGCGGGGGGAACTGGTCATGACTTGTGCTCAGCCAGCATAGACTGACGCTCCACCGATGGAGCAGCGGTTTTACCACTTGGAGAGAACGCAGCCGTGAGGTATTTTTCTGTCCATTTAGACAAGTAGATAGTTTCAAGCCTTGGTTAACCAGGACTTAAAGGAGAAGTACAGTTTCAGCTTCTGATGACTTCCCTTTGGGCCCATTCCCCACCCCCTATCACCTTCTCCTGCCCAAAACTCAGGTCTTCCTCCTGCACCAAGACCTTATGATAAAATGCCACCACAGAGCCAACTTCAGTTTGTACTCAAACACTCGTCAACATGGAATGGCTGTTGGGCATTCGGTGCATTCTCTTAGCCAACGCCAGAACAGAGAGAGAAGCAGCCAGGGTCAACTCACAAACAGATACAAAGCAAAGAGACAGAGAGACAGAAATTTAGAGGCCAGTCACCAATAAAGATGGAGAAGGGTGTGAAGATGCTCCCAAATTGCAGAGCCTCTAAATGCATGGAACCAAGCGTTCAGTCACTCTCTCACTCTTGGATATAATGTTCGGTTGGATGGCATTCTCTTACACGCTGGTAGGGCTGGGCTTTTCTCATTCAATCCCAGCCATTATCCTTGATCATGTGAGCTAGTTCAATGATGTATTTGCCTTCTTTATACTTCTGGCTGCTTTCAAAAGCGTGTTCCTAAAAACAAAAGGAGAAAGAATGAGATCAAGATGGTATCTGAAGATAAATGCGCAGTTACAGATCAGATCCAGGAATGCTGGTACAAGTCTTAGCCTTGTCTACAGAGTAAAATGCCCTAACTGCAGGTCCTCCTGTTGGCTTTCAGAAGAAGTATGCTGGAACAATCTTAAATCCTGCTTCTAGATGTCTTTACAGACTGGAAAAAGCAACAATTGGCACCATGTAAATGTGCAGCTTTCTGCAGACCAATGTCAACTGCTCCTTGAACTATGATTTAGGAATCATCAGTGATAAAACCCACCTCTCTCTGAGGTGAAAAACTCTAGGTGGAAACTTCATGTGGAAATGGAGCAATTGGGCACCAAGCGATGAGGACTCACCCTACACAGATGCATGCTTGCAGGAACACACAACGCTTCACCACTGCAGAACTGCAGAAGTGAAAAAATCTGTGGGATCTCCAACCCGGAGGGTTTCCCGTTACTAAGGCAGCATCCTCAAAAGCAGTTCAGCTCTGCTCAGGTGTTCTGTGATGCACCTGAAAAAACGTCACTGGAGTCTTGGGCTTACTGCTATGTTTACAAAATTCTGTATTTTGTTTTACAGTAAACTCAGTTTTGTACTTAGTGTCCTTTTCCATTTGTGAGATCCATGCACGGATTCCCACCACATCAATTATTGATGCTTTGCTTTTTACAGCCTTTCAATTGATTTATTAAAGAGTATTTCTGTACAGAGGCCACATAGAATAAAGAATATTCCTGTCTATGTTTGGTTTAGACGCTGGTCAAAATGTTTTGACAAACAAGTTTGCTGTGTGCCTCCTGAAGCAGAAATTAGAATGTAGCATAAGCCTTTATTTGAAGGTAACCGAATTTATGAAGAGCAAGAGACAGCAAATAGATAGACAAACTCATGTTCAATAAACTCATGACCAACATTTCCAGTGGGAAGGACACAGGATTAACAATATATGGATCATTCTATTATTCTGGTACTGTCTGCGAAAAAAGACAAGATGAACCACAAGACTGACTGATGTTATCCTCACATTTATATTAAGTATCACTAAGGGACACCCGCCAAAACCAGACCCGCAGTGTATATTCTTAGTAAAAAACATATATTAGCCACAAAGAACTCCTGCTCTGAATGAATGCAACAAACACAAAACAGGAAAGAAAAGAAATACAGGAAGGAAAAAAGACGGGGCTACAGACCAGAACCTGCCTTTCTGGTTCCCAAGTTAATGGTCTTTCCATGAGACCATGGTACCATACACACACCTTCAGAAAGGGCTGGATCAAAGATGTCCACAGGAAAAATTACAGTGATACTCACGTATTTCCAACCCAGTGTAGTTTTGCAGTTTTCACAGTAAATATCTGCAACCGCATGTAATCCTGTTAGTAACACCCGCTCTTCTGCAGGGCCACAACCCACATTAACTCTGGGGAAAAAGGAGAGATGCTCCCTATTAGTTGTCACTGCACATCAAAATGCTGCACTGAAGTTGACAGCAATTTTAATGCAGTATTTGAAAACATAAGCAGGAGGTTCAGGATACTGAGTACCAAAGCTGTGCCCGAAATGAAGATCTCTTGCATTTTCAGAACAGAATGAAAAGGTGAAATATATTTTTTATTCAATTGAAAGTTCCATAAAGCTTTGAAGAGAACATTAATAACATTCTAGTAAATTGCACTAATTATGCATTTGAGAAAGATTTTCATTTTCAAATTGAGAAAATGGTACTTTTACTTTCCCAAATGGAAAATTGAAAAATGTATCTGAAATCAGCAGTTCTCAAAGACATCCCAGCAGTGACCTCATCAAAACTATTTTCAGTTATTGGGAAAATTACACTTGGTCTTTACGCTAGCTCTAAAAAGTAAGTTCAGATTTAGATACAATTTATTCTCTACATTTATGACACTCTCTTTTGTCCAACTACATTCTCCGAGAAGAGAATGACTCATCCATTAGCTCTTATTTCTCAATCTGATGATGACAAAACCACCTTTTCCTAGCTGCTTATCTGAAACCTTAACATTAAATCAAATATGAATCAGTGCTACTTCCTGCCTCTTTCTCCAACCATTTTCAGCAAGCTCCCAAGGCTTAAGCAGAGGTTTTCTAGAGGAAGACTATCCTTTTGTTTTCTTCTGAAGAAGGGTTTTCTTAAATCAGTCCTTAGAGACACAGAGGTTATACTCACACTGAATTGAAGAGGTATGCTCGTCCTTGGCTTCCTTGAAAGGACTGAAAGGCAAGAAAACAAAATTCAGTTGCCTGGTTGATAGAAGTAAGTTTAAACTAGGACCTGCCCTCACCGGCTGCATTAATGGTACTTATAGCAACTGTTAGCCAGGGCCTGAGAAACACACATTGTTAGAGTCTTCAAGATGGAAAAAGCACAAAGCAAAGTGTCAAGAGGAGATGAGCACTGATGAACAGAGGTCTTGTCCTGCAGTCAGGAAGGGAGCATCTGCCTTCAATTCTAACGCCTGCCCATTCACAAGGCGTGCTGGCAGCCCAGTGAGAACTTCAGCTGGCATGTCCAGTGTACTTATCAAGAGTTAAGCTGTTTTCTCTCTTATATCCCAGCAATGCCTATTATCACTCTTTCAGTTCTGTTTATGAATCTCACACTACTGCCTCACCCTTGCTGCCAAACACTGATTTGAATCTCTTTTTTAAAACAAAGTGCTCGCGGAGGCTTCCCACTGCACTGCCACAGTTTGGAAACACCACTGCTGCATATGGCAGCACGTGAATCCCCCTTAGGAAGACTGCACGGATGGATGCTGAACCAAACTGAGACATTGTGACCTATTTGTGAAAGGTGCTGTGCACACAAATACAACCTCTACTCTAATGATTTTACAAAAGACCTTAACCTTGGTGAGGTGTCTGCAAGCCTTCATACTCTCAATGATGCCAGGGAGATCTTCAGGAGTGGATCCAAACTTACGACGAGATACAATTGGAGAGCAATGAACACGGACAAGAGAGAACCACACAGCAACACAACCACACCAGATAACCATGAGTCATGGCACATCCCCTTTGCCACATGTTTCCTCAGGATCTTAAAGCATCACCATGAGAAGACAGTGCTTCAAAGAGAGCAGGGAAACGCCAGCCTGGCAGGACACTTCCAAGAGCCAGAAGGCTCTGTTGTGTCAAGTCTGTAACGTTACTCCATGATGGTGCCTTGCTTACAAGAGTTGGCTCACACATTGCAAGTGCTACCTGCACTTTTTATGTGCTCTGACAAGCATGCACTGAATGAAACATTTGGTGCTTATGAGCAAGATGCTCTCTGTATACAAGATTATGAGATATCTCAGCGTATGTATGCAAGGAGCTGGGAAAGTCAAAGAGCAGCTTTTCTGGACCACTTAATCATTTACCTTGCACCTCACCAGGAACCTTGGAATATTTAATGTTTTTCTTAAAACCTCAGCTTCTATAGATGAAGGATGATTTCAGGCTAAATACCCTTAAAAGGGAGGAGACAGAGTTTTGACAGTCTAGATAAACATTCAAGGTTTTACCTTTACCTCCCTGGGCCAGTAACACCAGTCATCTATTTAGTTAAGGGCAACCTAAACCTGGGGCAACACAAATGTGCTCTCCCCGCATCACATGAACCAGAATCTGAGGTGTCCCTGCCCTTCCCAAGTCATCCTATTCTGACAGCCCTAGGGATGCACCCCTAGACAGCCTCATGGAGAAGCAAAGTCAAAGGCATGCCTTGGAGCCAGCAAGCCTGTGGATGATCCGGAACCCAGTTCTTACATCCCTATATATCTGCATTCATCAGCTGCTTCATCCACACTGGGAAGGCTCCTGCATGTTTCCAGCTAACAGTTATAATGCCTAGAGTTGAGGTACCAACCTATTAGCTCCAGCAAGCATTTCTTGGGTGCTGCCTGGGATAACAGCCTGTAAGATGTTCTCTCCATCATGAGCTGTGTTCATGTGAAAGGCAGAGATGGAAAATTCACTCACCAGCAGGAGACAACAGAACACATTAAAGGTGTGATTTAAAACTGCCCTGAAAACAGAGCAAGTACAGCCTGTCATAGCATTTACCCTGAGTGCCCTTTTTGGTGTCAAAGTACTCTCCAAAAGTGGCAAAGGCCCACTGGAAGATCCCGAATTGCAAGAACATATGCAAAAAGCTCCCTACCATGTAGCAGAGGCACCTGCCAAGGTGCGTGCAGGCAGAGAGCCACAGCCAGCAATGAAAGCTGCCTGTGAGGTCTGGATGGCAGTAAGAGCTCTGCCAGCTATAAAGTCACTGCCTGGCAAAAATCTTGACTCACTCCTGGAGGAATAACTGTTCTTCAGAGGAATCCAAAGCCCAGTAATTAGCTGCCACCCAGGGCACAGAAAAGCCACTCTGGATTCAGAGAGGATGCCTGAGGCACTTGGCTATCTCCTTCACTCAGACAAAAGCAGTGCCCTCAGGAA